TCTCCGTATCCGGAAACGTACAGAAAACGACTACAATATTCGTTCCTTTCGCAACCGGAAAACGTTCGAAATTGATCATTTGACTTGAAACCGATAATTTTATTTTGTTTGTACAAGCTGAACATTTGAAAGCATCTACCTATAGGATACGTAGTCGGCAATGACTGAGCGTGCAGGGTAGCGTGCTAGTACTTCTCAGGTTTCTCAAGGTGCTTTGTTCGAATGCCGTCAGGCGTCTCCTTAATATTTTTTTTCGAACTATGAAAAAGCATCTATGAAGTGCAGAAAAATTTCTAAAAATCGGCAAAAATGTATCCGTTTTACAACCATTTTTGGTATTTTTCTGTGCATACATACGTTTCTGCCGCACACTGAGAAAACGGATCGAAAATGGAATCGGTAAGCGGACAAAAAATCCGCGTTTCATCCACTTTTTTTCCTTTTTCAGATCCGTTTTCGAATATTTTGCTGGCTGGGTAGCTTAAGTTGTAATTCTACTTGAGTACCTTTTTTTTATATAAAATTTGAAAATTTCTAAATCGATTTATAATTACACTGTGTAACGGTAAAAATTAACTTTCCTAGTGACCCTGTACAGGTCGTAGCTGTGGTCGAATAATGCACAAAATAATAAATTCCCCAAGACCATTGTATTTGTATTGAAACTACTTGTCGAAACTTCTTTTTTTTGGGGATTTTTTGCTTGGACAGAACATATCCCACAATGAATTATAGGAAATTTGACCGAATTTCTGCTTAAAAGTCCACTTTTGCGTAAGTTGTAATTCGTTTCTTTTTTGTTGTTTTTTTATGAAAAAATTTTAACACTATGAAAAACTTCGAACAAAGTTAAGTGCAATAAAAGACGGTTTTTTTGAAGTTTTCTCGAAATCTAGGAGGCGTGTTGGCCAAACTGACTTCAAATTCGGATTCTGCGGGTCGAAATACATAACCATAAGTAGGTGCGGTCAAATGCACATCACACTAATTTTTTTTTTGTTTGTGCCGGTGTTTATATTCGGTCACTTAAAAATTTCGTGAAGTTTTCTTTGTTGTGTTACACCGTGTCTTTTTAAGCAGAAAATTTTTAAAACACAATTATAATTCACACTAAAAGACAGACCACAGTTACAAGTAGATATGCACTTACAATCGCATCATCATTTTTCGCTTTAACTCCTAGCAGTGGCTCACAAACATCTTTATCGTAGTCGTAAACAGCGACGCAGGTTTGAAAAAGTAGTTGATTTTGCAAGACGGCCCCTTATTTTTTTTATTTGAAAATGAAGAAAAACTCGTTACATGCCAGCAATTTTAAGGAGGGTATAAATTAAATATCTTACCAGCAATTGTTGTGGAAATATATATTAGAAATACAGCCGGTTCAATTATAGTTCTCTTCTCGGATATCGTAGAAACTCTGTCATCATTTGAATATTCTGAAGGTGAGAGTGGTTTTGCACTGCCCTTTTCGTAATGGCCGACAGTCCCGTTTTGTGAAGGTAATGGTGCCTGCTCCTCCGTTCCAACCATTTTCGATTTTAATTGTTTTCACTGAGTAGTTGACTTTGAGTTTTTAGAATTTCTAATTACGAGTATTATTATCTGTATATTTTTTGGATTGTGGCGGACAAACACTTTTGCTAACGGTAAAAATTATTTTTCACAAATCTGTTCAGTTTCGCATCGTCAGTGCTACTAAATCGCTTTTAACGTCTTCTCTGTTAATATATGTATGTATGTACATAGATATGTACGCCTGCCGTAGACTTTTAAGCACTTCTCTGTTCAAACATAGTTCAGATGAGATAAGGATATTGCAGTACTACTTAACTTTCAGTCACTGCGTTCTCCTTCGAACGTACTACACAAACAAATCAAGGGGTTGACTCACTTGCAACAGGTACTTTTTAGAGCTTTGCAGTTCTGTAGCATTCGATTGCCAAATAATCTCATTTACAAATACTTATTTTAAATATGTAGAACTGCATGTAAGTGTTTGTGTGCGTGTGTATGAGTTAGATATTTCCGTTAATAATCGTATGCCACCTCTGTGTGCCAGTTCTTATTTTATAAGTATTTATTTGAGAGAAGTCAGTTAGATATTTGTCTGTGGGACGAACGACATATCGCCACAAATGCATTTTAGCACACAAATTAAATGTTGAACGAATAATATATTTGTATAAAAATTGCATTTCTCTGTGGACTGTTAACATATTTAAATTAAACCAATCGAACTACTATTTTGCGCTTCACCATATCTTACCAATTTAAAAGTGCCCCCAGCATTTTCCTGTTTTTGTACGAATCGAAAATCATGAATTTTTTCCATCATTTTCTATACGAAAATTCCAAATTTTCGATTCGTAAACAAGAATACGCCTCAATGTATTTAGAATTCAACGAAAAAGAAGATTTTTGAAGTGAAACTTCTTTAGCGGCGGTTGGTTGGTTGGGAGTGAATTGGCAAATTCAACGGAAATTTCACACGGAAATGATGCGACGGAAATGGTGCAACGGAAATGTTGGGGCTGAAAGAAGCGCTTCTTATGATTATGTATATGGTATTAATTTAACAAAAATTTAATAATAAAAGGTTAAAGAATAACACTTAGACCAATACAAGAATGAAACTAAGGTGACTACGTACATAGATAAAGAAAAGGATAAAGGCAAAGGTAAAA